GTGTGTGTGTGTGTGTGTGTGTGTGTGTCCTTTACCAAGCTCTTGACTTGTTTTTTCTTGATTTTCTTGCATCACTCTTATTTCTCTTCCCAATTCTTCCTCTGTCTCTCTTACATGATTTTCCAAATCCTTTTTGATCACTTCATGGCCTGAGACCAAATCATTTTTTTTTCTTTGAGGCTTTGGATATAAAAGCTTTGACTTTGTTGTCGTCTAAGTTTGTTTTGATCTCCCTTGTCACCATAGTAATTTTTATGGTCATTTTTCCCCTGTTGTTGGCTCATTTTCCCAACCTATTACTTGACTTTTAACTCTTTGTTGAAGTAGGGCTCTGCTTTCAGGGTGAAGAGAGCACTGTACCAAACTTTAGGGGGTTTGTGCAGCTGTTTTCAGGGATCTGCAAGTTGTCAGTTCTTCCAAGGTGGTATGATCTAAAGAGAGGCATTTATTCCTCTCCTGGCCTGTGCTGTGGTCTATGAGTAACCACAAGCACACTCTTCTGCCTGGAACTATAAGAATGCTCCCTGCTCCACTGTGGCTGCAAGCTCTGGTGTGGCAGTGCTCTTCCTCACCTTAGGACTGCCACCAAGGACAATGACCTAGATCTGAGTATGTGCAAAGCAATAGAACTCTGCTTCAGTGCTAGTGAATAGACCTCTGTAATCTCCTTCTGACCAAACATTATTATTGCATATGATATAAAATGTTAAGTACAAGATAATTAAAGAGGTTACGATACACTTTTTTAAAATCACTATAACTGTCCCGGATTTGTACCAGTAATTCAGAATTGATCCAGTTGTGAGATGGAAAGACAGAGAATGAACTTGAGATTTAATTGGTATAGCAACCTCTGAGTGAGAATTTTCTTCAACCAATGCAGGTCATTACCTTCCCAGCAACTTATAGTCTTAGAGAATTGCCTAAGCACTGAGAAGTTAAATGACCTCTGTAGTCTATACACTTAGTGTTTTGTCAGAAGCTGGTCTGAAACCTAGGTCCTTCTGGATCTAAGGCCAGGTCTGTATCTGAAATGATATGTTGTCTCTCAATATTGAGAAAATTATAAACACAATAAATCATAATAATAAAGAAAATAATTAACATCACATTGTTATATCAATAGAAACAAAAAATAAGTCATTTGACCAAATATAGACTTCATTTATATTAAAACACTGAAAAGCATAGGAATAAAAAGACATTGACTTAATATAATCAAAAGTATCTACCTAAAGCTAAGAGCTACCATTATTTGTAGTATAAAACCTTTTCCTGTGATACCAGGGTAAAACAAATATGTCCTTATTTGATATAGTGCTAGAAGCAATAGTTATATAAATAAAACAACAATCAAAAAAATGGGAAAAAGCATAGGCAAAGAGAAGACAAAAAAAACTCATTTGATCTATCCATTTCCAATAGCTGTTTTCACATATCTATCTTTTTTGTGACTAAATTCCTTAATAAGGCCATTTGTAATCAATGCCTCTACTGCTTTTGTTCTTAAACTCTTATTAACTCATTACAATCTTACTCCGACCTCATCCAACTGAACCAGGCTCTTTCCAAGCTACTAATTATCCCTTAAGTACCAAATTTAATGACTTTTTCTCAGTCTTCTGTAGCCTGTGACACTGTTGATCACCATTTTCTCTTTGATACTCTTTTATCTCTAGGTTTCTCTGACACTACTTTGTCGTGGTTCTTCTTCTGCCAGTTTGACTGTTCCTTCTTAGTTTCCTTTGCTGGATATTTCTCCAGGTTACACTAATAGCTGATGCCCTTCAGTGCTCTGTTCTGGGCCTTTGTCTCTTTCATTTAGTGATGTAATTAGCTCCCATGGATTCAATTATCCATGTTAATGATTATCTGATAAATTATCCATCCTTTACTTCTCTCCAAACACATCTCCAGGTATCTATTAGGCATCTTAAACTCAACAAGTCCAAAATAGAGTTCATTAGCACAATCTCCTCCCTCTCCCCCCCTAAAAAAAAATTCCACTCTTCCTAACTTCCCTATTATACATGATCATCGTCCCATTCTCCCAGGTTCACAACCTAGGAGTTCTCCTTGACTCCTTACTGTCTCTCACCCTCCATGTCCAATTTGTTGCCAATGTCTTTTGCTTTTACCTTTATGACATCTCTCATATATACCCCCTTCATTTTTCTGATATTGCCACCACCCTGATATAGGCCCTCATTACCTTTCACTTGCACTGTTTCAGTATATTGTGGATAGTCTACCTGCCACAAGTCTCTCCCTATTCCAGTCCATCCTGCACACAGATGTCAAATCAATCTTCCTAAAATTCAACTTTAACCATGTCACTCCCCTTTCCAACAAATTCCAGTGTTTTTCTCTCATTTCCAGGAGCAAATATAAAATACTGTTTGACTTTCAAAGTCCTTTATAACTTGGTCTCTTCCTCCATTTCTAGTCTTCATATATCTTACCCCCATATACTCTATAATCCAGTAACACTGGCCTACTTGCTCTTCCTTACACAACACACTCCTCTCCTTACTCTTTTAATTTTCATTGGGTGTTTCTCATGATTAGAATTTTCTTCCCCTTTTTCTTGGCTTCTTAGCTTCCTTCAAGTCTCATTTAAGATCCAACCTTCTACAAGAAGCTTTTCTCAATTCTCCTTAATACTAATGCCTTTCCTCTGCTGATTATCTCCAATTTATACTTTATAAATAATGGTTGTACATAATTGTTTTCATGCTGTCTCTCATTTTATTATTACGAAGACCTTCACATGTTTGTTTCAAAAAATAGTCATTTGGGAATTGTAGAAATAAAATTAGGTTTTTTCTACACTGTAGTCAAACTTAGTTATTAGTGCTAGTGAATAAAAATACCACAAAAACAAAGCAATTGACAATTCTAAATGTTCTCATTTCTATCAGAGACTAGAGCAGATTAATTTTAAATTCTGTTAAAAGATTTAAAAGATTATTTTGAAACACTTCCAATGGCCAGAGGAAGAGTGATTTCCAAGCTTTGATCCAGGCCTACCAATCCTTTGTCCTGGCTCTAGAGACAGAGCTGGAATGAGAATGCAAGGAAATTATTCTTATACTTCCTTTTTACTCAAGGGAAATTCCTCTTGCTAGTTTCCTGTTGCTACTCTTTATGCTTTAGGACATGGCTAAGTGGCAGGACATGTGTGGAAGTAGAATTATTTCTGAAAATCTGGGAAGTTGTCATTTCACTCACAAATAACTAATAATTGACTCTACTTGCTGTCTGTAAAGTACCTCCTTAGGCGATTATAATCTTCACTTGATTATTAATGCAGATGATCATAATCAAACTTCTTATACCTTGAATCCCCACGTGTGTTCTTCAGTTTAGGGACACTGGCCTCCTTGATTTCCTCAAAAAGAAAACTCCATCTCCCAGCTCCAGATGTTTTCACTGACTGTTCCTCTTACCTAGAACTCTTTCCTTTCTTATCTCCATGTCCTAGCTTCTCTGGCTTCTTTCAAACATAGCTAAAATCCTATCTCCTACAAGAAACTTTCATGATCACCCTTAATGCTAGTGCCTGCCTTTTGTTATTTCCAAATTATACTGTATACAGCTCATTCTCATAACATTGTTTGCATGGTGTCTCTTCTTATTGGACTGTGAGCTCCTTGAGAAGAACAAGGATCATCTTGGCCTTTCCTTACGTCCCCAATGCTTTGTACAGTGCCTGGCACAGGGTAGACACTTAATAAGTATTGACTGATTGATTATAGATTCATGATGATATTCATAGAACATTTGTAGAATATGGGAGAAGAAAACCAGAGGTGGTATTTGAACCTAAGTCCTCTGGCTCCAGAGTTGGCATTTTTTCCACACTCTCCCAGTTTGTATCATTCCTTTTCTTTTGTTCCAATTAAGGTTAGCCTCCTTCACTCTTTCCTTAAAGATAAAGTAAGTATGGCAACATGGCATGAAGAGATGAGGGAGAACAAGGAAAAAGAACCTTGGAATTTACACACACACACACACACACACACACACACACACACACACACACACCCTGCGCTCTCCATATTTCTTATTTCAACTCCCCACCCAAAGTAACAAAACAGAACAACTTTATGATTTTTGTGCCTGCAAAAGCAGAAAACTTTACAACTTTCTTCCAGCTGTGGAAGCTACACTGAAAATGAATAGTTATAATGGTGCAAGGCTTGTAATTCATGTTTTAGTGTGCTTTGGGTACTTTTGAGGAAACTGGAATTGGTAGAACAATTATCACAGTGCAGAAGGCTTGTTGTTGGTCTTTTAAGCTGCCAAACTTTTCTCTTCCCAGTATAGTATTCTAAATTCCTTCAGAGAGGAAGACTAAATATGGCTACAATGGGAGTTTTAGCATTCTCTGTCCTAGGTCCAGATGTAAAACATTTTCATCATGGAAACCTCTGATCAAGCAGAAGGACTAATGACTGTTTCTGTTTCTAAAATCAACCTCAATGCTTCAAGAGCTTGTCAGGAAACCATGGCTATGTGCCTAGGCACACATCCTCACCCACATACAATCTTGATCTGTCATTCTGTCTGACTACCCACATCACTTCCATCCTTCCAAATGAAGCCCCAATCCTTCCACTGCTTAATGTCTTCCCAGATGACTCTTGCCTGAAGTGATCAATCTCTCCACTGAATTCTTGTAGCACTAATTGTCAGTAGAATGGATTAAGTAATTAATCACACCACCCCTGTGATAGCTCACATTGTTTTGTGCTGCTATTTAATTTTTTTATATTTTTATATGTTCACAATGATTTGTTCTATCTCCACAGCTAGATTACACACTCTCTGAGGGTAGCCGCTATTTCTTTTATGTCTTTGTATGCCCCCACAATGCCTTTCACAGAATATGCCCTTGAAAAATTTGTTCTGACTTTATTAGAGACGGATTCATATGAGCAAAACATTTTCTATCCTGGATTAATTCTATTTTGTTTTGGTCTTTTGTCTTCATGCAGGATTTCCAAATGAGCCAGCGGCAATCATAGCCCTAACCACCATCAAGGAATGGCTGAACAGAAATCATCATGAGGTAGGAATAAAACAAACCTGCTCATGAGCACAACTTGTGATGCTTGACATACAAATAGGAAATGAAATTAATTCTGTAAATATATTGAGGATTCTCAATGCCGAGATAGGACTATGAGCCACAGCCTCCCAGTCCCACTGTCCAAGTAGCATATTACTTGAGCAATCATGGCGGCTTGCCATAAGATTAAGTTGACTGTACTAATTGATATTAATTGTGAAGAAGCAGGGAATGACCAGATTACCTACTCCATGATCTGATTCTTTGTGCTGGAGGTTGCATAGAGGAAGCATGAGATGGATTTTGTTCTGAGGAAGAAACAGTTATGGACTCATTTTTGTTGTCATAATTAGGTCAGAAAGAAAGTTCACAAAAGCCTTACAACCAACATCTTTACAAGCAGGGTGTACTCTGCATTCATTAATTTTCAGGTATCCTACACTCCTTAGTATTTTTTTTTTTAGTTATAACTAGCTGTTTCCTCAATGTTAGATGCTAATGGGAGATTTCAAAAGTCCTGGATTTCTTCCAGCAAAGCTGTCACAGTGGTGACTTTTTTTTTTAACGAAACAAAATGCTTCCAACAGAGTACTCTCCATGCCTCTTATTCTTTTCATTTAAAACAATCTTATGGGATGCATTGAGCAGTTGGACTGGAGAAATGCTGAAGGGAAGGAAGTGACAAAATAACTGGAGGCAACTCTGAGCCTTAAATTTCAGACATTTGGCAATTTACATATTATGATCGCAAGCAGATTTCAAAGGATGTGCAATTTAGTGCCTTTTTCTTCGAGGATTTTTTTTTTCTTCCTAGACCTCTGTACAAGCTGATTAGGATCATACTGTTATCATAATGAAAGGATTGTACTCCTGGTTTTTTGGGACTCTGGATAGTTTTTTTAATCTGTAGAGGAAGGATGTATTTTATGGAAATTCCTGGTTGGCTAGGTAGGTCTCCTTGAGATGGAACGTTCCTGGGTGCTTTCCTTTGTTTAAAGGGGCAGCGGTGCTGTGATCTGTTAATTGCCGCACAATGTCAGTATCTCTAAAACAGGTAAGAGCATCAGAAATTTCAGACAGAAGGAAGCACCATCTGGCTAAGCTTTCATAGCTGCTTTCCCTCTTCCTTTTTAAGGGGCAAATCTGACTATTCAAATTTGGGTCCTAATTGCTATTTTCATAGCTTTTTTTTTTTAAATAAATATATAAATGTGCTAAGTCTAGCTGTTATAGATGCCCTAGTTAGCTCACTTGGTAAATTATAGTGCTGAGAAGACCAAGGTCATGAGTTCAGTCCCCTTGGGGGCCATTTAGCTACATTTTGTTCCTATGGACATGGATGGAACTCCTAACCTAGACCAGCCACTTAGAAAATCTGCCCGGGCTCATGAGGGGAAAGTTAAGGCATCAGCTCAAATCCATCATTCATCCTGTTGCTATAAGGAGGGGGGAAAAGTCTAAGTAAACAACTGGTGGTAACTGCTAGGCTTGAAGTCAGGAAGAACTCTGTTCAAATGTTGCCACTGATGCTTACTAGCTATGTGACTTTGGACAAATCACTCAACTTTTATATGCTTCAGGTAATTCCCTAGATGTATCTACTAAATCATAGAAACATTGGGGATTTACTTTGGTGTAGGCGATCCCTATACTGTTAATTCCCTTCCCTGAGAAAATCACAGACTCTTTGATATTCCTTTGCAACCTAGTAATTCCTCAGGTAAATTTTTTTTTTTGCTTTTATGTGACATTTAGAAAGTCAGTATTAATAAGAATTCCCAGGATATTCCCTTTGCAATTTCCTTTCTGTCCTCATCATCTTTGTTGTTTGCCTTCCGAAGGAGACATTACTCAAATAAACATTGCTTTTATGGACTCCGTAGTGTTTTCCCAATGAGTTAATCATAAATGGTATGTTTATAGATCAAGGCCACAAAATAGGTTTTTTGAAGAAATGTCTTCATTTCTCTTCCAATTCTGCGCCCCAACTCTGCCACCACACACACATAAAAAATAAATCAAAGTGAAAGTTTTTAAGAAGAAGCCTGTTTCACGTAGACAACTTCTGCCATTGTATTAGTGTAAGGAAAGAAAGTCTATGTGAAAATTCTCATCATTTTCACTTTTGTATCCTACTGAAGTTGTCAAACACATACACAATAGTTCTAAGAAATCATTTTCATGGTTAAAGGGATGAATAAATACAGAATAATTTCTTCCTTCACTGGTCATTCTTCCCATAGTCAGCGCAGAAATTTGGTATTCGTGTCTTGGTCTCATTTAACTTAGACTGTTGAGATTTTTGCCATATGGCTGTTCTTGCATAACATGTCACCCAATAAAATACCTTTTGAATTCTAGATCTCTGTGGAAAGATATTTAACTTCATGTTTCTGTTTAATTAATAAAGTTTTCACTTGACCAGGCTAATTAGGCAACTTGGACAAGTGAAAAGAGTATTGGATTCATAGGAAGCAGATACTCTTCAGTGCTTATTAGTTATATGAACTTGGACAAGTCTCTTAACCTCTTTAATTTCTTCCTCTCTAAAATAGGATTAATATTGACATTACTTGCCTACCTCACTAAGCTGTTGTAAGGAAATACTGAAATGTATAAGCATATATCTCTATGTTTATATAAGGTATTATGAATTGTATGCAAAATGGAGAGCTGTAACTAGGACCAGGTGACTGAGCTTTGACCCAGGACACTGAAATTTAAGAAGTGCTGGTCGGATCACAAGAGTCTGGATTTAGAGTTGAGAGGGATATTAGAGGATGAGTCCAAACCCTTCATTTTATAGATGGAGAAACTGAGGCAGAAAGGTCAAGTATTTAAACAGCAGGGGAAAAAAGTGAGCTTTGTACCTAATTGGCAAGAATAATTAATTAAAATCATAGGCTACCAGATGGATCTCTTTTGCATCTCTGTGGTTATGCGCCAAGTATACCCTTCCTGAGCCCAGCCCTGCTTTGCTTCCAGATTCCCCAGAAGCAGCTTAAAGACATCCTTGGTTTCTTCCCTACTTCCCCCCATCCCCATCCCCCCTTAGCAGGTGTTACTATATTCCATGGGCAGTGTTTCAGGTTCTCTTTCCCTATCATGACTTAATTTGTCTTTAACAAGTTGGCATGAGGGTTGGCTGATTTATTTAGTTGTCACAGAGCAGGGCTTCTTAGATTCTTCAAGACAATATAAGATCTCTGCCAATAGCTAGGCACTAATGTTGTCCTGTAGAGCGTCTATAGAGGCGAAACACAGCTTGAATCTGTGCCTCTGGCTTTTTTAGCAAACATCATGAGTGACCAGGATAGAGAGCACGAAGTAGGCCCTACTCAATCCTTGTGTCACAAGCTGCGTTCCTCCATTTGGGCCAAAATGACACCTCATAAAGCAGAAACAAAGCCTTCAACATTTACAAGTTGTGCCTACATCAGTGAAAGTTTCATACCAAACTGAAAACATCTTTGAAAAAAGTATAGAGAAGCACCTATGGATTATATTCAGCTACATTTAGACACTGAATAGTCAACCAGACAGCAGTTGGGCCTTAGAGCCTTCCAAACAATGATAAAAGCAGAGCTACAATCAAAACCTACCATGTACAGAATTGTTTCTAGCAGTTTCATTTTTCACAAGGAGTAACTGCTCTAGAGGCAAGTAAATGAGTAGAGAAAGGTGCTGATGTGGAAGTGAGGGATGGGCAGCAAACCTCCCCATCTGCAGTGGTTAGCGTAGCCAGTTTAAATCAACGTCAAGCTATTTCATGCATTCTTCATTTTCTGTGGCATCTAAAAATATCCTTCCTTGTAGAATTAGATGCTCCCCATTCTTCTCTTATGAGACACCCCTTTAAATCTGGAAGTCTGCCTAAGCAGTGTTTTTCTAGTACATTCAGGATTGGACTACCCCAGAGAACACTTTGGCATTTGCCTGTTGGCCTCTGGGGTTAATTTCATAGAATGTGTTTTTCCTAGAAGATTGAGTGGAAGGAGACGTGTGGACCTCTGCTTTCTGCCAGGGCCTGATATCATGCTATCTTTCCCAGCCTGCTTTGTGGAGAGGCTGTCAGGCCCCCTTTTGCTCATTCAGCATTTTAAAACACCCTTTAGGAGTTGTGATTTCCATACAATGCAAGATATAAAACTAGAGCTTGTACCTCATTTGGTCAGATGATAGAATTTTATAAAACCTGATATTAGAATAGCAATTCAGTGAATTTTTGTTAAACTTCTTAAAGTTAAGCATGAAAATGGTCTTGCTATGGTGGAAAGACTACACTGGTCTTACTTACATTCAAGAGTCCTGAGTTTTATGTCTAGCTGAGACACTTGCTGGCTGTGTGGCCCTGGAGAAAACACTCAAACTTCTCTGCTCCTTAATTTCTTTGTCTGTAAGATGGCGATAATAATGCTGTTACCCACATCACAATGTTGTTTTACGGAAAGCACATTGGGAACCTTGTTATATGTTGTTTTGGGGGATTTGCACACCTGTTGTTGTGCAGTCATTTCTGACTCTTCATGACCCCATTTTGGGGTTTTCTTGGCAAAGATACTGGAGTGGTTTACCATTCCCTTCTTCAGTTCATTTTACAGATGAGGAAACTGAGTCAAACAGGGTTAAGTGACTTGTCCACGCCTGCACAGCTAGTAAATGCACTCAGGAAGATCAGTCTTCTTGACTACAGGCCCAGCGCTCTATCCATTGCGCCACCTAGCTGCCTCTTTGTATGTGTGTATATGTATTTAATCCTGCCTTTCTAATTAGCCCTAAGCCTACAATATAGAGTCTATTTTCTTGGGCCTGCCCCACTGCCCAAATTCTGGAGACAGTGCTACCCCCTTTGTAAATCTGCAGAATGATTTACAAGGGCACTTTCCCCCTCCTGCGGTGAAGAGAACAGCGTTCAATAATTCAGATTTGTCAAACACTTTGAACGTTGCTAATTAAAGCAGCTGGACAGTGAGGCTATACAAATTGGAGGCCCAGACACA